TATCCCTGAAAATGATTGGTTTTATTGATTTATGTTTGATATATTGTTAATGTGATAATAAAATTGATCAGTTTAGTGGCTGAAATTGATCAGCTAATTACCTAAATACTTAGTGGCTGAAATAAAAAACATATTAATTAACTTAGTTTTCTAGTTATTTTCACTCTAATTCTTGAATATGTTCAATCTTAAAAAGTGCTATGTCTTGAAATTAGTGATATCTTGATTCTGATCAATCTTAAAATGTAAAATGTTTTAGATGACATAAGATTAGGTGTTGTTCTATGATATTATATGACATTAGTTATTCTGGTTTTGTTCTTATTATACACCTAAATCCATGATTATATGTTGATGGCCTTATTAATTAAAGGCATGATTATAAGGCATGATTAAAGGCATGATTATATATTTTTGATGGCCTTATTATATGTTGAGCACATCATGGTTTTGTTTGTGTTTTGCTGTTTAAATTGCCCTTTCTTGGTGTTGTTTTGATGTTATGTGTTAAATGATTAAGTGCTAAATGATCATTACTGATGTTTTTATTTCTTTGTTCTGTTTTGTTGTTATGAATTTGAGTTAAAAACACTATTCTGATAGAGGTTTTTGCTTTAGACAACTTGTATAATCTGATGAAGTTAATTGCTTACTAATGGATCTGTTTTTGATGTTTTGATGTTTTCATTCGAGTAAAAGATAATGAACTGATAAAGCTATTTGCTTTAGAATATTGATATTATCTGTTTATGTTATTTGTTGATTAATTTAGCTGTTTTGATGTTTTGGATAGAGAACAAATCCTGTTGCTTTGTTGTTGTGTGACTGATTAATAGTTTGACTGAATATAGTTCAATTAATTGAATAGCACAAACATTAACAAATAGGAAGCAGGAATATTTATTCATGGAATTTCATTTAACTGCAATAAGAATACAGAATCATACCTTAAACTGTTTCTGAAATTACTAAGCACACAGATTTTTTTTCAACTTCCAAAGTTTTTCAATCTTTATCTTCTTCTGCCCTTTTGGCTCCTCTGAATAGCTTGAGCCTTCTCCAAGCACCTCTATTTGTTCCCTCTTCTTAATCTTTTCCTTGCAGCCATTTCCAGCAGTAAGTGTACAACCCATTTCACCATTTGCAGCAACCCAGTTTGGACTGTGAACTTCAGCCTTTACAGCCCTGTTTGGTCTGTACAGTTCAGTGGTTACAGCCCTTATTGGGCTGTAACCTTCATCATCTTCAGCCCTCATTGGGCTGTTCATTTCAGAATGTGCAGCACATATTGGGTTGTTATCCTTCAGTTCAGCCTGCACAGTCCTTTTTGGGTTGTTCACTTTAGCTTCTACAGCCCAGATTGGGCTGAGCAGCTCACCATTTGATTCCTTCATTATGGGAAAATTTAAATTAGCAATAAATATAATTTTATATATTATATGTAGAATTAATTAGGTAATAACCAGTGAAGTTATTGGCAAAGGTCCAAATCGATCGAGCAAAATAGGATCAGCGGTAATGCGAGCTACCGTAAATGGACCTTTGTAAGATCCAAATTGATCCTTCTTCTTTGACACTTTAAACATGAATGCTTTATCATTCAATAGCTCAATTCTACTTGGCAAAAGAGCTCCATCATCTTCCTACATAATAGAATACATCATAAGAATAATAAAATCTTTTGAAATGTAACTAATCATTAGTGCATTTACAACACAAATAAGGGTGCATGCCTTGAACATGTCGTTGACAACTTCTTCGCAGGATTTTGCAATCATCTCTTTTTAAACTTTATCCCAACACAAAAGTGGTAAAATTCCCGTGTCGTCCACAATTGAAATGTGGAGCTTGTACCTTAACATTTGAAATTAAGATATTATAAGATAATATAAATATGTATGATAATTTTAAAATGAGATATACAATTATCTAAGAATTGCATAAGGAATCGAGTCCTTGCAATAATTGCACCAAAAACTCTCTCCTTTGGCCTCCACTCTCTGAACACATTCCGGGCAAGATTTGAAGAAAAAATTGTCGGATATGTCAATGATGTTGCCATATATCCAAAAATTACTTTCCTGAAAATAAAAAATAAATAATATATCATAAAATTATCCGAATATTAATTAAGAAATTTGAAGATTTAATAATTTCATCATATATTAATTAATTAATTTATAATATTATTTCTACCTCATTAGCTTTCAAGAAATCAGCCACACAAATTATTGGAGAAACTCCGGACTCCAAATCTTCACCAATATTAGATATGAAGGGCCTCACATATTGGAATGTTGACTCACTTGGCCTTATGTGTGAGTTGTACCTTTATACTCAACCATAAATTTTGAAAAAGTCAATATATTAATCAATTGATAAAGTATATTATGAAACAATAAGAAAGTATATATAATAATTTAAATATCATTACCTTTCTTTGAAGTCTAAAATTTCGGGTACATCACCCATAATAAGCTTAGTAGCATAAAAAATGTTCCCAGCTTTAATAGATCCTAAAGGAGATAAAAAATCATTTAGAGAACAATATTAATTGGAAGTATTAAAAAAAATCTTTCAATTTGAACATACCATCATCAAAAGCCCTTGCTCGGCTAAATTGAACAATTACTACACGCAAGTTATTCACCGGAGAATTGTTCAAGGCATCAACAATGACTTGCACATATCCTTCCCACAATGTGCAAGTCAAATGGCGCCCCCTTGACAAAAAAAATAGATAATGAATTTTTAGTAAATAACAAAATCATAATTACTTGAAATATAACAAATTGCTTATGATGTTTAACTTACTCAACATCTTCTAAAACTACATCGATGAACTTCTTTTCAACTCCATTTGAATTGGTTGTTCGTATGCTTTGAACCATGGCAATACGTCCAATCAAATCTAAAAAATTAAACAATTAGACAATGAGATTTAAGATGTACATTGTAGCACACGAAAACGAATACTTTGGCCCATGAAAAAAAAAAAAATACCAAATATTTTGTTTGAATCAATTGTTTGAAGGTCGGATAGCTCGTTGAAGTTTTTGAAGTTGTTTTCAATCACATCATACATTTTCTTCTCTTTACCAAACTCAAGCTTGTGACTTGATTCGGTTAATTTGAAAGCACTCTTGTCCTCCTCGAGGACCCAATTTGAAATGACATACACGTGTCCTTCGGTAAGGTTAAAGTCTTTGAAATTTTTTGCCAACCAACCGGGCGCCGAACCATGGATCCGTTGTCCCTAAAAAAATAACAAAATATATCATTAGGAAATTATTATTTTGACACATATATTACAATAATAAGATGAAAAAAAATATACCTTAACATCATGGAATACGAATTCTAGCTCTCTAATGCTATCTTTGTTCGACTTGTAGAACTTAGAGAAATATCTAACCAACCTCAACTTTGCAGCCATATTTGTGTTTTTGGCCAAGTAAGTTACATTTTCAAAGTGTGAAATCATGTTGTTTTGGGGAATTTTGAAATAGAAAAAATGTGGTGTTGGCTCGTGTATTTGCTGCTAGAGTAGAATATTGGAATGGAGTGATTGTTTGTGGTTTTTTTTTACTACTTATATAGGATTTGGGAATAAGCCAAAGGATTTAAATTAATTAATTAATTTAAATGATGATTGCAATTTAAATAAATGATTGATTGACAAATTAAAGCAAATTGTATTCATGCTTTGACCAGCATCATTTTATATTTAATTGTTAATAGAGTAATTAGATTTAATGAAAAAATTGGATATTTAATATTTTGGTTATATTTCAGTCATGATATATTTGCCAAAAATTATGAATATTTAATATTCAATTTTTATTAGGATTTATGACATGAGAAAAAATTATGGGATTATGATTCTTTGATTGAAACCTTTGAGCCTATCCACTGAGAATTGAAAAAAAGAATTGAAAAAAATTGGATATTTAATATTTATTTTTTTATTAGAGTTATGAGAGTAGCAAAAAATATGGGCTAATTAATATTAAATTATTATTTGAGTTATGAGATGAGAACAATAATGGGATTTTGATTTTGAAATAGTAATTATCTGTTGACCTACAAATTATGGAATTTTGATTTTGGAATTATAATATTATAGTTATACTCATTTATTTTGGCTGACCTTTTTTTTTTGTTATTTTTCAGGAATGGGGAGATGGATAATCTTTTTTTTTTTCAAATTTATTTTTTTAGTTGATTGTAGTTTATTTAATTTTTATTTGTTTTTATTAATTTCGTTCAATTTTTAATGTATAGAAAAATTAATTGCGATTAAAAATATGATTACTGATAATTGTTGATACTACTTAATATGCTTAAAAAAATATGGAAACATCATTAACTTGTAATCATTTCATAATTAATTAGTTACTTTTCTTAAAATAGTCAACTCTCATCCAAAAATGTTTTGTTTTTAATAAAAAAAAAAAAAACGAAAATAAATTGAGCAGTAACGTAAATGGGCGGGAAACTGCCAGCTAGGTATAATTTATTATGTTTTAAGTAAAACTGACCTGTTTTTGCAAAGAAATAAAAAAAAAAAATTAATAGTGAAGAGGTTGAAGATATTAGTTTGTGAGAATAACGAGTTGACTAATACTCAAACTCATAATGTTGTATACAAGGAGGTCTTTAATAATATATGATTGTATCTTTATCGAATTCGCATTATAAATCTCTTTATTTAATATTGCATCTTATAATATAATATTCTCCAAATAAATATGTCCGTGCATCGCACGGGCACATAATATATATCTCGTACATTTTTCTTTATTCATATATATAATAATAATCCTCGCTAAATAGCCTTAAAATTGTGCAATTCGTGCATCGCACAGGCTCTGCACTAGTGTATATTTATTGCAGAACTCGTGTCAACATAGCATTTGTGAAAAACAATAGATGACTGCAGTGAGGAACATTTTCCTTGTTCCTTTCTTCCTAATTTTCTAATCTCTCCACTCCCAAACATGGCGTCGGGTCACCTTCGCCTTCATATTTCTCCTGCAAATTCACCAATTTTACTATCATTACCTTTGAAAAGGTGTGCGATTGCCTGTACTCCCAATACCCATGGTTACGATACAAATCCGAAATCAAAGCCCAAAAATTGGTCGAAAACCCTAATCTCTTTGGCAGTTGCTGTGGCTCTCGTGACTCCATTGCCTTGTTCAGCAATCCCTTCTTTCAATTCACAATCTTTTTCCAACACTCCATTTTCTCAGTCACAGAATTTGCCCACTGGCTTGGAAAATGGGTACTGTATTAACTGCACTCGTCTCTCTTTCTTTCGATTTCATTATTGTTGTTACTGTTACTACGTTGTTGCTCTTCGTTTTTTCCAGATATTATGATTACTACATTTGTTTGTCCTGCTAACATGTTCTGCTTCATGAAATGGATTGGGTTTGTTTTCTGCACTTGTTTAATTTGTATGGTCATAACATTGATGTTTCACCTTACTGTATTGGAAAGTACATGGTGCAGTATATATTTCATTGAGTTCCGTATCTAAGAAGCTGTCACAAAATTTTTTCGGGTTGATAGTGTCGGATGCTTGTACCGTGTAGTTCCTTAGGAGTTTAGACTACCGAAAATCGGTTTTGCTTAAGCCTACATTACCTAGGTATGCCGTGGGCCTGACCCCTATTCATACTCTTGTGTTAGAAAAGTGAGACTTGTGTTTCTTGAAATGAACGAAAAAGTTAATGTTTGGAGGTAGTTATGGATTCAACTAACTTAAAGAAAAAGTATGATGCCAAAACAGGGCAGATGTTCAATCAGAACTAGCTAATGCACAAATGTGGTTCACAGGATTCCATTCGACTAAACTTGTCGTAAAACTTTTATTGCAGAAAAATCAGAGTTTGCCCTTCTATAAATCCAAGCTGCATATCAAGTAATCCCAAATCTTCAAATTTTGCATTTCCGTGGAGGATAACAGGCTATTCTTCAGAAAGTGTGGCCATTCAGGTTCATTTAGTTGTTTTTTTTTTTTTT